TTTTTGTATAAATCTTGGTTTTCACTTACTTTTATTTTTGCAACTAGTAAAAAGAACTTGTGATTTGAAAGAAAAACCTTTCATGGCAGTTTTTCTTTGAAGTAGAATTACAATAAGGTTAGACAAAGTTATAATTTGGTGATTTGTAATATTTGAATTACAATTTCACATTGAAATGGCATGGATTTTAAGAGAGTAATTATGTCCATTTTTAGGAGTATTATCATTCTTACAGAGTGGCATTATTGAAGTAGCATTTTGTAATTACATAACTATTATATCTTGGATTTTTTAGATTTTATTTTTTGTATAATAAAATTTTCTTTCAAGATGAACTTGAGTGATAATGTTACTTGCTGAATATATGTTTTTAAGAGCAAGCTAAGCTTTGTTGATAATTCTACATGCTCCTATATAGAAAAAAATTATATTTTCATCACAATTCCAAATTGTTCTAAAAATACTATGATCTCTTTTCTTCCATGTAATTTTTTTTATTTGATTTAATAGATATGATATTATAGTATCTAATTTTATATTTAAAATTAGCTTTTTTTAATTCTAAAAACTAGATTTTATATTTCTTTCATTTCAAACTTCATTTGGATTTTTAATTTTCAAATGCCGTACCACCATTAATCAAATTTTAGCTACTCTTTCTTTGAAAAACTATTTGTAGTCATTTTAAGTAATAAGATATACTAGTGTTTTAGTTTTTTTATTGAACGTCTTCAACAAAGCCTTCTCTTCTTGAATGTACTACTACTGTTTTTTTAGAATTTTTAAATTAAATTTTTTTTGATATTACAATTAAATATTATAATGATAATAATAATTAATTTTTTATTCTATTTTAAATAATATTTATAAATTATAAATTTATTTACAAGAATATTTATAATATTAAAAAAAATATATCAAGAAGGTCATGCCCTCTCAATAAACGTGCATTGTTTATGTAGGGATGTAGTTTATTAGTTGATTTAATAACACTAGAAATAAAAAAGAAGATGCGCCATGATTTAAAGTGCTTTATTACCTTTTTTGTAACCATCATCACTTTTCTAGCTTTGTGCCTTCTCTATTCATGTATGTACATGAGCTTGTATGCTATCTTTTTTTTCAACCTTATCAAATAATTTCATACATATTACTTTATCTAAATATAATATCATATAATTCTTTCTATACATCTCAAGGTCATTCATGAGCATTGAATTGTTATATAAGAATTTGCGTTATCATTAGTATGTTTGTGCTTTCATTTTGAAATCAAAATAGTAGTATAAAACTTCTTATTAGCCTTGATGATATTGCAAATATGTAATCAATATAGATTGATGTAAGCTATAAAACATCATACTCAATTTTAAAGAGATAGAATATAAGATTGTCAAGGATTGTAAACTAAAAGCAATGAGTCCCATTAATAGATCTTAATTGGTAGAATTCTTAAAAATATAGGTTTTAATTACTTAAATATATAAATATTAATATTAAAGAGTCTTTTTAATGATTTAAGTATTTATTAGAACTTAATAATGTTTATAAGATATAAAAGTTTTATTAAAGAAAAATTTATAAAAATAGAATTTTAGTAAGTCTTGGAAGCAATTAACTTAGTTGATTTAGAATTTTTACTTATTATTGAGTATCAATTATAGTTGAATATTTTAGTTGATTTAAATTGATTTTATTACTACAAAAAATCACCAAGGTAGGAAATTTTGGCTTTAATATGATATGATTATTTAAAAAATATTATAATTTTTAAAAAATTTATTTAAATTTTATTTAGAAATTTTAAGATTTTTTTAGATTTTTTTTTTAAGATTTCAATAAAATTAAATTTTTACCACTTTAAGAGCTATTACAAAGCAATGGAATAAGATTTGAAGGTCATACAAGGTTCTTAAGCTAATGGATATTTTTGAATACTATGGTGAATTTAAAAATACAAAAAGTTATATTTTATTAGTAGAAAATAAGAAGACTAGTAGCTAATCTAGTACTTATAAGAACAAAGGTACATAAGTCCCACTTGGATTGTCACACCTTAAATGTAGTTAGGAAGATTAGACTAAAGCCTTGTGTCTTCTCTAAGCAACCTAAATACACTATATTTGAACCTTGGTGAGGCTTGAATTCTTGATTTATAGCCAAGTTATCTTTGAGGTAAAATATTTTTATTTAATTTTTTATTTATTTACTTTTTAGCTTTATATCTTAATAATTTATTCATAATAACTTGGATTTATAATTTTTTTACATCATTAAAAAGATAAATAAAATTAATTTAAAAAAATATTTAATATTTTTTACTTTCTACTTATTATTAGATGCAAATTTAGTAAACAAATTGTAACTTAATTTTAGATTATGTAATTATTTGATTTCATTTATTTCACTTATTTTTTGTTTTTTTATTATTTTTTTCTTTTTATATGCTTCTTTCACTTTATACTACTAATTACAAGTAACTCTTGATTAAAACCATCTTGTAATTTGGATTGAGAAGTAGAATTTATCTTTACATAAATAGTGCATAGTTTGCAGTTAGTCATGGTTGCAAATGATGGACATAGAAAACATTAGAAAGATGCTTAAAAGTATTATTCTCAAAATAAATCAAAATAAAATAAATTAGTATTTTTACTAATGCTTTAAATTAATTGAACTAATAGAATTAAAAGTTATCTTTACGTAGATAGACTTTATGCAAGTAAATCCTCTAGATGGACATCAAAACCTTTTCAACCATGAATGATAATTGTAAAGATAATACCTTAGTAACAAGCTTCTCTACAATGCACTTGCAAGTATCATGCATAGTAAGCTAGCAAAGCATGGAAACTCAATTGTTCAAAATGTTGTTAGCATTATTTCCAAATCTAATACAAAACATGAATTTTTTAATGTTACAAGTAAAACTGAGATAAATATATAGTCAAATAGATATATTAGCTAAAAAAAATAATTCTACGTCAATTTTAACTATTAATATTATAAAATCATAATGCAACAAGATAAACTATTCATGGTAAAAAAAACATACTTAATAACCATTAATAATAGAAGTTAGATAAATCTTTATTCTAACCAAATTATTTACTCTCTATTCAATCAAAAAATAATAGAATAATAATTATTTTTTATAAATAATAAAATAAAATTACAAAGAAATAAGTAATAAAATCCAAGTGATATGTTTCCATAAATATCAACTTAATAGTAATAATATAAAAAAATAAACTCAATATCAAATATAAATAAAAAATATCATACATTTGGTTAAATTTAAACATTATATTTAATACCATTCTTCAAGTTACATAAGCATTAAGGTGTCAACTAACACAAGCAATAGCACCAATACCATAACCATCAAATTGTGAGTACTTGATGTGCAAGATTTTGTTTTAAGCTTGCATTATTTTCAATATCATACATTTGTATATAATCTTTTGATACAATCAATATTAAACTAGTTTTTTTTATTAAGGTCCTAAAAACTTAACTTTTACTTTACTTTTGATGAAAATATTAATAGATGCAAAAAATTAGAGATAATTTTTTTCTCTTTTAGTTTATTTGCCTTGAGCTATTTTATATAATAAATATATCAAAAACAAATTTAAGACTAAAAAGGATGCAAAGTAAGAATTATAGTTATAAGAAACTTCTACAAGTACTTCTTAAGTATTTCTTTAAACTTTCATCTAAAAAACTAAAATAAATTTTCTTAAAGAAATTTTATTTTATTTTATATATTTTAAGTATTATTATTATTTTTTATTAAAGTGACATAGATATATAAGACAATATCATCCCTTCTAAAAATAAGTTTCATAATAAATAATAATATTCTAAATTTCTTCATAAAGTAATAAAATTAGAGATATATCAAATATTTATTACAAAATTTAATGTATGCTTCGATTTATATTTGTAAAAGACTATCTAATCATTCAATAATGATTGATAATTTTATGTTTATTTTTTAATGAGATATTTAAAATTCAATCAAGTATACCATCTATTACCACAAATATTACCAAATACTAAAAATCTTTTCTAATGTGTCAAATGTATTTTCTAACATTTTTATATTTAAAAAGAAGATTTCTTAAAGATCTTTTATTTCAACTTGAACTCTTTAAAATTTGTGGCAATCTAAATTTTATATCTAATATATATTTCATATGATAGTTCTTTAAATAGACATGCTATTTTTTTTAAAAAAATAATTATAAATAAATATTAAATATACACAAAAAATTATTAAATTTTTTATTTTTTATTTTTTAAAACTTTATACCATGTTATCATACTTAGTTATATATATATATATATATATATATATATATATATATATATAGGTATATATTTCATAAAATATAAAAATCGCTTTATTCATTTATAAGATAATTTGATGACTTTATATTTATACCTATAATTGATAGTCAAAAATATATTAAATATTTAGTATTTTTAAATAAAGAATCTTGAAATTATATAAAAAACATCACACATTTTTTACATTATAATATTTTTATAGTATTAAAAGTATGATCAGTTATCTCAAAATTGGGCAGTTATAATTAATATTCCAAAGAAAATGATTACAAAGTTTATGTTGAATACTATTAATTATCTTCATTTCTAAAATTGACCAATAATTGATATTAATATTGTTTCAGTTGTCACTGTAAAACACGTTTTAAAGAACAGAAAGAAGTAAAATTCACCACTTTTGGTGTTTTATACCTTGAATATTTAAGTGTTAAACCATTGCAAAAATCGCCATGGTGCACCTCTAATCTATCTCCAAGAACTCTCTAGAGTAACCAAACATATGAAAACAGTGGTTACAATATAAAAGTCGTCTATATTGATCATAGAACACCAGACAAAATATTGATCATATAACACACAACTATATATAGTACAAAACTAACTATACAGAGTTCTGTACAGAGTAGAAAGAGAAAATACTGTGTGTGCTGAGCTCCAGGTGCGAGGCGCGCTCAGTGTGGGGTTGCGTTTGAGAGTCTACGTCCCGCGTGATTTCGAGTTTTCTCTCTCGCGCCCGCCTCTGTGTGCCCTTTGTTATTTTATTTTATTTTTTTTCTGTTTTTTTGTTTTTGGTATGCGTTTCTGATCGCCGACTCCATAGCCTGGTGAGTTACATGGCAGCCATGGACACAGACATGGATCCCGCGACCATTCCTCGACTTCACGCTCCTTACGTCTCTCAGGTGAGTATTATTTTTTGTATTCTGACAGAGTCTCGCTCACTCTTCTCGACAATCACCTTATGCCAATTGTTGCATTTCTTGCTTTGTTCTGGTGCCCTTCAGGACCAAAAATACGGGCTCAGTATGCAGCGCTACAAAGGCCAGCAATACAGTCAGTTGTATTTTATCCGCATTGTTACGATTCGGCAACACCTTACCCCCTGCATCCAGGAACGGTGGCCCTCTCTTCCAGGTGTGCGACCTTGTGTCTGTTGTCCTTCCTGAATCGATTTCGTATGTTTTGATTTTCATTGAGATTGGGAAAGTTTTCTCGCTTTCAAACCTACATGTTCTGTGCAGTGTGCAACATTCTAGCTTTGGAGGAGGACAAAGCTTGCGTCGTCATAGGGACACTTTACAAGCAAATGCAGCTGAAACCTTCTGTTCTTGATGAATATTCTAAAGAGGTGAGAGGAAGCAGCTAATCAATTCGTGGTATGTGTTTTTGCTACTAGACGGCTGAGATGATTTTGTCAAGCGAATCGCATGGACAGTGAGAATATTATTTTTTGTATGGTTCGCTCTTCTTGCATCTCTTCATGCAAATTTGTCGGCTTCTGTGCAGAGATCCGTGGTGCCTCTAGCATCTCCCAATAAGTTCACGCACAAAGACGACTATTTAATCCTTGAAGATGAGAGTGGGCGTGTGAAGTTGACGGGAAGTGCTGTTTTGTCTTCAATGTACGTGACCGGTATGTCTAGTAAACCTTCGTTTTCTATTTTATTTTTTTCAATGAATTCTTTATTAGTAAGAGTCAAGAATCAGTTATAAGCAATATTATGAAGCTTCTTGTTGCAGTCGACAACTCAAGAGAGTGTTGAATTTTAACTTGCTCTCTCACTTCTATAATAGGGGTTGTTGTGGCTATCGTTGGTCGAGAGGAGAAAGATGGTGAATTCTTTGTGGAAGATGTCATGGTGGCTGGCCTGCCGCCGCAGAAGCCCTTGAAGAATTCAGGTTGGTCGATCAACATGTCACCGTGGTGGTTGTGGAATACACCTTAGTTGAACTTGACAACCAGCTGTAATTGTGACAGAAAATTAACCCTAAACGCTCATATTACATATATTTTTGGTTACGGTGCTATCTGTTAAACGTTTTCCTAATTAGGGTTAGGATTACATTCAGTTACTTTTCAAAACGTTATATCTGATCTATTGAATAAGAATGATGATCATTTTTTTATTTTTTATAATGCTAACAGATGTCGACAAATTCGTTCTGTTTGTATCTGGGCTGAAAATTGGCGGTCATGGTACAAATCCGCTTGATCTGCAGCTCCTTGTGGATCACTTAACTGGCCATCTCGGGGAAGTGCAGGTTTATTTCTGCGTCCAATTTGAGTTTCTCATTTCTGAGTTCTGATGATTGTTCCTGGAGTCACCGTAAACACTGCAGCTGTTTAGCATGCATCAGAGGTAGTGCCATTAAACTGACAGGTTATTCGTTGTACTGTATCATTTAAGGATACCAGTGATTGTGGTACGATAACCTATCTCATGCTTGGGATTGCAAGACCTGTTAACATAGAAGTGACATGATGACTGCCATTTCAGGAACAAAGTTTAAGTTCACAGATAGTACGCATGGTCATTGCTGGTGGTTCCCTCGACTTGCAGACCAGTATATCTAATGGACAGGTGCGTACATGTCTTCTCTACTTGCTATGTACTCCATTGATGCAGAATACACAGCTGATAGATTTCATGTTTTGACTGCTCTACCTTCTTAAGCCACTAAGAGGAATTTAATGTGTACCTAAAACCTGAATTCAAGCCCTGACTTGTAAGGGGCTTTTCGCGCACAGTTTAATTCTGCACCTTCCTTCTCTTCTGTCGTTTTTGCGCTTCAACTTGAACTGCAGTGGCAAGTAGAATCAAAATTGAATCTCACTGAGAAGCAACATGTGTGTCGTACAGCCAATGTCGGCAAAAAACCAAAGCAAGCTTGTCGAACCAGTCAAGGAACTTGATTTAGCTCTGACTCAGGTATTGGGGTCTTTGACTATTACTCAGAATGGTACAGAATCCTATCAGTTGAAAATCCGTAGTAATTAATATCGACATATCCATTGAGTACTGCTTATGACCAGGAGTTATTCTGAGTTTATTTATTCATTTTTTACGGTTAATTGTTGTCACATTCTTGATTTAAAACAAGTTCCATCGACTCTCTGTTGATTATATCTCTCACAGTCACCATCGGCCACGTAACATCAGATTTCAGCAGCCATGCCAGTGGACATTATGCCTGGAGCAAATGATCCAGCCAATTTTTCTCTTCCACAGCAGGTTGGTCCAAGTTAAGCATGTCTCTAGTCCACTGTGCCTCTAAGACAGTAAGGTGATTTTTAGTCTTTAATTTACACTTTAGCCAATTTTTGAAGTCACATTATCATGCTTCAATTTTTATTCGCTAAGTTTCTTCTAGTTTACTTTGTTGATTACTCACATTACCTATTTTGACGTGTCCTTGCATAACTGCATGATTGCAGTAAATCTTCAGAGTTTGTACTTACATTTTTTTTTTACCGTGCACCAGCCACTTCACAAGTGTTTATTTCCGGGCGCTACCATGTACAACACTTTCGTTTCAGCTACCAATCCCCACCAATTCGAGCTTGATGATGTTTTGTGAGTTTCTATCAGAATTAGTGGTCCCATTTCAAGCCTTCGCTTTGTTGACTATGTTGGTCTTACAGAACACACTGTACTTGTTTTTAATTTTTAATTTCTTTTCCCCTGGTTGTACATACTTATCGATTTGTTCTGTTGGACTTTCTGATGCAAACTTGAGTCAACAAAGCGAAGATAAAGAATCCATTTAGTTAGATAGTTTAACACTATCGAACTCAATTTCCCGAAGATTTGTTTACATCGCTGGACTCATTCGATTTCGATCAATTTAAATAGATCTGACAGAAATAAATGTAAAACTGAAATGAATAAAAAAAAAACTTCATAGTGATAACTAATTGCTTTTATGAGCAAACTGGAAAGGTTTTTTTTTAAAACTTTTAAAACTTTTTGACGTCGATAAGCAGGTTTCTAGGAACATCAGGTCAGAATATTGACGACTTGAGCAAGTATTCAGAGGCCGAAGACCGTTTAGACTTTATGGAACGAACGCTAATGTGGCGTCATCTTGCACCTACAGCTCCTGATACCCTTGGTCTGTTGCAACATCCAATTCTTGGTTGTTCAATGTAGTCAGTTGCAATGCATCTTATTGTAATATATTCTTTTGCTTCTGGGACTGAATGCAAATGTTGTGCATGGTGCATGCTCGAACAGGATGTTATCCTTTTATAGATAGAGATCCATTTATCTTGGAGACTTGTCCCCACGTGTACTTTTGCGGTAATCAGCCTCATTATGCATCTCGGCTGCTTACCGGTAAGTGTACATGCACCTTGTGGCATCATTTGTAGATCGTCTAGGGCACACCTCTTTCGAGTCCCTCTTGATTGATCGTTCAGAGTAGATCATCTCCAACTCATACATTATAACGTTGTTAATTTTTTACTCTTCTTCTTATGCTGGTGATAAGGTGTACATTTGATAATATTGATGCCTTCAATGTGAGCATTTCTTCAGGACCTTCAGCACAGAAAGTGCGGCTGGTTTGCATCCCCGAATTTCACAAAACGAGCACAGCTGTACTAGTAAGCCCATGAATCTTACTTATAATAGAAAAGTTTTCGTACCTATGAACGGAAAAATTTCTAACATGTAAAATGCGCATGATGCAGGTGAATCTGAGGAATCTCGACTGTCACGTTCTGAAACTCTCCACAGAATCTCTTATTTTGTAAACATCTCGGGATATTGAGATTCACTTGCAGAATGTAATCAAAATTCGCTGCATGATGAGGAATTATAAATTATTCTGTGTGGAGCTTCGCCATGGCGAATGCTTTTGCATGGTTCCAAGTTTACCTGTCAACACGAAGCCCCTGAAGCAGATACAGACAGGCAGGATTTCCACTACGATATTAGATCTATTAGTTTTTCCGACCTACGTTTTCAGAAGCTCTGATCTCGTAAGTTTTTTGAGATTGAGAACGTCTTGCATCAATGTCAAAAGGGTAGTTATCATGGTGATTGCTTTAATGCTTCTACATTTTCAAGGTTTTGTCCAAGGGGTTTATTATTATGTGCAGCTCCAGTCAAGATATGACCAGATGAAATTTCTTATTGACACTTTTTGTCGAAACCATAACTTAACCTTCAAGTTCATTACTGTAAGTGAATTTAGAACCAACTTGCACCAGCAGAATTTGAGCTGTATTTGAACCCAGCAGAACTGCTTAGAATGATATTACAGCTATTCTAACTTTTTTAGGCCTATTAACGTAGGAGAGTCGGACTGGTATTGTTGGCGCTCTTGTTTCCTCACCTTAAGGTCTGAGACGCGGGCTTGTGAAGTGAATCTTGTCCTTAATGTGAAGACTATTTATCTAAGGATTGCTTCATTTGCCTAGTTTAACGAAGGGAAGTATGACCATGGTGCGAATGGTAACATGCAGAGTTCTTGCAATCATTTGACATGTGGTCAAAAAACTTGTATGAAATGATTTTTTACTGCAAGGTATTGATACTGTTGTGGTGAAAGGATTTGGAGGTTGAAATTGTATTTTTTAAATTAATTGGATTGCTGCTTTTGAAGAAAGTTTCAGGACTCCGAAAGTAACCCCAAAGATGATAAATGTTGACCTTCCTTCATGAATTTCATATTTATGTGTGTACATGTGTATGTATATAAAAGGCCCATTTTGGCATTCAATAATTTGCATCAAATGCAAACATGTGAAATTGGATTCGTTTAAATTATAGAGTGATGTAAGTATGAAGATGTTAAAGAGTTTATATTTACATAAGTTTGATTGCACAAAAATAATATTTAAAAAAAACGAAAAACAAAAAACAATATTTTGAAGACTTAGTTAACAATGCCATTATATATGAATATGTATGTGTATATATATTTTTATGAATAAACATAACATTGAAAGATAACAATTATGTTATATCATACAATAAAATTGGATGATAAAATATGAAATTCTATATTATTTTAAGATTAATAATTTAAACATGTTACAAACATGTTAGATAGAAGTAATGGTGAATGTTAAACATAATCAAAGTTAATATTTAATAACATATAACACATCTTATACATAATTATTGTTTGTTATTATTATTATCATTATTATTTTTATAATAAATATTTCTAAGAAAATTCAGCAATAAAAAATTGATTTGATAAACATGTTCTAGTGTGAATTATCAATATGATTGGTTAATATAAGGTTCAACACCTTAAATATTCTATAATAGGTATACTACTAAATTGATTTTTTATTAGTTCTTTTAATTCTTAGAATATACATACAATCTTCAAAATTATAAGATATACAAAATATTATGTAAAATACATATGATCAAATTCATAGTATTATATGTTGATTTACTACTCTTATTAATAACATTTAAACATTTTATTCAATCAAGTTATAATTCAAAAATGTATCTTTTTATATAAATAAGAAATATTTAGAAGATATACCTTTAAATCTCATTGTTTAAAAGTAGTTGCAACCAAACATATCATCAAATAATTAAAGATAACTTATAAAAGTTAACATTTTATTTTTATTTTTTGCTACTAAACATATTAGAAATCAACTTTAGTATGCATAAATCTATAAACCTTAAATCCTAAATTCTAAACTTGGTCCACTTATGTTGTTGTATTTTGAAGGTTGAAAACTACCCACCTTTATACAATTTAGTTTTTTAACACTGTTTTTTTTCTTAGAAAGAGTAGATTATTTCTCTTTGTTAAAATTTTCATTTGATATTAGAGATTGTAGATTATCCTCTTCTAATTTAATTTTTTGAATTTGTTTGATTTGTCTATGGAAGGAAAGATTATAGATGCTACTCTTAAGAGAAGTGAGAATAGATTTGCAAGTATTGCAAAACTTCATAAGCTTTTCAATGCTATAAGAGTAAAAATTTTATATATTGTCAAAGACATGAATTGGAAGAAGATGCATAAACCTAGAAAATCTATGTCAAAAGAAAAATGACAAAATAACAATAAAGTAGTATGCACATTAAAAAGAAACTGAAATGATTAATGCCAAAAGACAGGAAAATTAGAGACTCTTAAATCTAAATTAGAAGCAAGAAAGGAGTTGTTAAGAGAGAAGAAAGCTTCACTCTTGCCTCTATATATACTATTTAATTAAGAACTATATGACAATGTTCTATAGGACCTTTAATATGTTGTTGACTTTGTAAGACACATGCCTTAACTTACAAGGTAAGTTTTTTATGTGGTGGCTACATAGTTAGCTTGTTCTTCAAACTACCAATATGTGTGGTACATGGTCAACTTGTTGACCACGTTTCTAATCTAAAAAGTCAATTATAGACACCTACAAAGTCAAAGTAACATCTATGAAGCTTCTAAAGAGTTTCTACAAAAGATATTATGGAATTAACCTATTTTTATTTATTTTTATTTAATCATATAGATAATTATTGGTTTACATGTGTATGTCTATGACATTACTCCTCTTTTTAGAGACAAGTTCCACAAGGAGCAATCATCATATGTTGAGGAAATCCAAGATATGGCAAATTGTATTTGCTATATACTCTAATCTTTGTTCTTTTTGAAGATGGTTGATAGGGCCTCTCAACCATTAATAGTGTCCCATATCAAGGTAAGAAAACGACTCAGTTATTTGATTATTGTTGAAGCCTTCATAACTTCCTTCAAATAAAATATTTGGAACACTGTCAAGAGTTGTTCTTATTCTTAATAAAATCACCAAATATTGGGAGTTCTTTCCAAGGTCGTGATACCAAACACGTTGTATCTTACCATCTATTTGAAGAAGAATATGTCATTCTTGAAGATCTTCATCTCGATTACATTGACTTGAAGGTTGTGATAATTTTAATGTCTTATCAAGCAAGTTAGTAAATGAAGGCTCTTGAATTGAATCCATTGGTTGTTGGTTCTCCATTTCATTAGTGTCACAAATACATAGAAACCACAAACAAAGATAGAAGGTAGAATGCAATCTTCTTTGGACCTTATTTTTTTTATAGCAAAAACTTATTATTCTTCATCTTGATTTTGATAGATGTCATTAATAAAAAGCCTCCACTCTCTTTGTTGTATTTGCAAGATTCTTTACTGGCTTCCATGTGCATTCATTAATATCATATTTATGTTAATGGACAAGATATTTTAATTTATTTCAACGCTGCCTTGAGTCTAAAACTTCTTCTACTTCGAACTCTTCATTATTGTCTACTTCTATAGGAGAAAGTGAGACTTGTCTTCTTTTATGTATATTCACAATCTTGTATGGTTCAAAAAGAGACATGTAGAAGACATAATGGATCTTCATTGATTGCGATAGATGTAATTGATAAGTAATTAGATTGATTTGTCTATATATAAATAAAGGTCCAAGGCTACGATAGTCCAACTTATCACATAGACAAGTAGTCTTGATATTATAACATAGTAATCATATCTTGTCACCTACATTGAATTGTGGTTGTTCATTTTGATAGGCATCTGCCATGATCTTTTGTCATTCTTGAGCTTTCTTTAATTGCACCTTTATTGTTATATGTAGTTTAGACAAATAATTTGCCAAACCTTCTGCCATAAGATTATCAATTTTTGAAAAGTCAAAAGTATCAAGTCATAGATAGTAACCATAATTGACAAAAAAAGATATTTATTATGTAGAAGAATGTATTATATTATTATTAGTAAACTCTGTCAATGGTTAGATGGTTCTCCAATTGTCTTATTGTTAATTGATGGTATACCTTAAATATTACTCAAAATCTTAGTTTACGTGCTATGTCTGTCCATCAATTTGAGGATGAAAGGCCAAAAAAAGCTTTATGCCTACCTTTAGAATCTTAAAAAGAGTTATCCAAAAACTTAATACAAATTGAATCCTCCTATCTGATATAATATCTTTTGGTAATCCATGATATCAATAGATATTGTTAAAGAAAAATTTGATAGTTTCTTTACTAGTGATAGATTTTGTGCATAGTACAAAATGTACCATTTTAGTAAAACAATCTACTGTCATGAATATAGAATCATACAAACGTGAGACTAAAAGATCCATAATAAAAACTATAGAAATAGAAGATCATGGTTGTTCTAAAATAAGTAATAGTTGAAGAAGTCCATAAGATCAATAACGAGGACTTTTTAACCTTGAACAAATGTTTTTATAATTAAACAAAGTCTTTTATTGCCTTCCACATTTGTAACTACTAAAAATCTCTAGATATTAGCTCCAAAATCTTATTGTATCCAAAATGTCATGTCATTGGAAAGTTGTGATGTGCTTGAAAAATATGTAAACGTGCTTCTTCTTTTGGCACATATAGACATCTTTCAAAATTAAGTAGATTTTTCTTGAACTTGAATTTAGAAGCATTACAAGACTTAAAATAAGTATTCTTAATATCATGAATAAGAGGATCAAAGGATATACTTTATTGAATTTGTTTGAAAAAAGTTGAATCAATAATTAATGTTGATTTCACTGCTCAAAGATGAAATTATTTTGGTTTCAATAAAATTATCCTTTGTTGATAAAAAATTACATCTTTTTCTTTAAATACAAGTTAAAAATATTTAAAAAGGACATCAAACAAATCTTATTGTTTTCCTAGCCAATAAGTGATATTGAATTCAAATCTTCACAAAGACATGTTCCAACAAGCCTAGTGATGATTCAAAATACAAGTTGATATGAAATACTTGAGATTCTTGTAATCCGTGTAGATGGTGTTTAGACTAAAAGTGCTTTCTAGATAAGGATGTAATTCTTAAAAAGAATCCATAATTACAAGAAGGTTTTTATTATGGATCTCATAGTTAATCTTGATTGCTAAAAATTTCTTGGAATGAAAAGCTACTAAGTGAAGTTTATCATTTATTTCCATTTGTGGTAATATGACACTCAAAGCAAAGTCCAATGCATTTGTTTTTATAAAGAATGTCTTGGAGAAGTCAACACAATATAAGATTGGTGGAAAAATAAAGGTTATTTTTAAAGCTTCAAATATTGCTTCGACTTCTTGATTCCACTAAAGTTTGTCTTTACAAGTCAAATGTATAAGTGAAGCTACAATTCGAGATAAGTTCTTAATGAAGATCTCATAGTAGTTAATAAATCCCAAAAAAATATTAGACATCTTGTAATATTTTTGAGATCTTTCAATTCATAATAGTTTAAACTTTCTTAGAATCCATCATAAGTCTATAATTTGAAATGATATAATTTAAAGAATTAACTTGAGTAGTGTGGAATACATACTTTTCTACTTTGGCATAGAGTCTCACATCTCTTAATTTTTGTAACACACAACAAATATAAAGTTCATGTTCTTCTAAATTCTTAGAATAGATCAAGATGTCAT